CCGAGTTCGAATTAGCTGGAAAATGTTCGGCGATCTCCCGCATGACCCAACGCCCAAGCACTTGCTCGCCAAAAGGTGCTTGCACGCCAGCAGGTGCCATGCAACTCACCAACCAAAGACTACTCTCGCCCATCATACGCCACCTGCACGCACATAAGTTTCTCATGTAGCTCGTACATTGTCGCACTTCCATGCGAGATCATTCTTACATGATCACGAGTTGTCGAGCAACACTCATCCACTAGAGCCTTCTCATATGATCACGAGTCACCGAGCAAACACTCGTCCTCCACAACCTTTTTGTGTGCTCATGAGTGTCGCTGAACTAGTTGCTAAGCATATCTCGTACTAGCTCGCTAATGTTGTCTTGTCGAGGCGTGACTCCTGCCCGTAAACAAGCCAAGACACTCACAACCAACAAATTTTCACTTGTACGCAAGTGCTGATCATTTAATGTGTGTTTTTCCAGTGCATGTACTATTGAGGGTATAAACACAATTGTCCTTAAGGTACTTTCACATTTCAATCTTTAGTACTTAGTAGATTTACACTTTTTCTCTTTATTTTTGTAATTTTCATTTTGGGATGTTGGAGCTCCAAAGATCGACCTTTGAAGTTCACAGTTTTGATACAAATTTGCATCTTTTTTATTCGATTTCCTTTTTAAAATCTCACTTCGTAATTGTTCATTTTTAATTTTGAAGTTCTTCATGGTAGATGTCAGTGTCTTGCACCAGGGGTCGAGTTAGAAGGTCTTATAATAATAGTCAAAGTTTCAACCTTTTAGTTGAATTAGCTTGTCAAAGGTAGGAAGGAGTTGCTCGTGCCTATCAAGTATTAAAAGTTAATACTTTGTTTAAAGCATCATCATTTAGGTTCCAGACTCGTTTTTTATATCCTAGGACTTAAGTATTTGCTTGTTCGATTATGAGTTATTGTTTGCTTAAGTGTTGGAGACTCCGTGATTACCAAAGGTGAATTTTTTTGGTTATTAGTTATTCACTTCTCGTAGCTAATTAGATTTAATTAGTTTAACGCAAACAAACCAAACTTGATTAAGATGTTTAGGATTTATTTTCTATTTTAGTTTTTGACGACTTGATTTGAGACTAGTTCCAAAACCTATTGATAGAGGACCCGAGATTTTAATTACCCAGTTAAAAAAGTAATGGAAAAACTGTTCTCAACAATGCAATACAACCAATACAGTTGAATCCACCTAGGGCTGGCATTTTTTGACCAAACACCAAAAACCGAACCGAACCGAACCGACGATAAAATAAACCGAACTGTACCGAGTTATTTATAACGGTAATCGACTATCGGTTACCGACTTGTTATCGGTTCGGTATGGGTTCCGAAACCATACAGGTTCGGTTTTACCGAACCGAACCGATAAGGAATTAAAATAAAAAAAAAATTATAGTACTTAATACTCATATATATGTTCACTATCCATTTTAACTTACTGTGTGTATATATATATTAACTATATTTCACTCCCCTCTTAGTTAACAATAAATAAAGTTAATTTCACTCATCACAATTCATACTTCATATAAACTCAAACAAACATTGCCCTTCTTTATAACCGACGGAGATTAAGGTTGCAAGGACCAACATCAACCAAAGCCAATGGTGGTGGTGGTGGGTTTCTACCCTCTATTGTTGCGGATATGGTCGGAGAAGATGGGGATCAGATCTAGGCCCGAAATCTGGTGAATTCGGCATCCCACTGGCGATTTCCAGCCTAATGACGAACGGCCACTAACCCGATTCGATGAAGTGACGGCGAGAGGGCGTACTCGAACTGAGTTTGATTCTTAATTTTTTGGGTGCAGGGTTGGGGGCTAAACCTAAATTTCGTGTTGTTCTCAGATCTGGAACCTCTAATTGTTGAAAATTGTTTGTCCTTGTAGTTGATTATAACTGGTTTTGCTAGGAGACTTGGTGTAGAATTATATTGATTGAGGAAAGGTGTAAATTGAGGAAAATCTGTGGGATGAAAAGCTGATAAACGATTTATTCCTTTCCTATTCTTTTTCTTTCTCTTAATTCGGTAAAAACCGAAAAGAATGAGTTACCGAACTAATTTGGTTACCGAATTTTCGGTAACCGAACTCATATCGGTTCGGTTTCGGTAGCAAATTTTTAAAAACCGAATTATTCGGTTCGATATCGGTTTAATATTATCGGTTCGGTAACCGAACCGATACCACCCCTAAATCCACCTACTATAAAAGTTGAATATAGGATAACTGCATAGAGAAAAGTTAGAATTTAACTCATAAAAATACAAAAATAACCAACCAATGGTATCAAATTTGATTAGCTCAAATATGTGATTCCAAAAACAAAGATGTAATAACAGGGCTAACAAGTAGAGCTGTCAAAATGGGCCAGCGGGGCGGGCTGGCCCGTAGCCCGCCAAAGCCCGCCAATTGGCGGTGCGGGGCGGGCCTACAAATTGCTGGCCCAACCCACCCCGTCTCGGGCCGCGGGTTTGGCGGGCTTGGCCCGCCATTTCCCCTTTTTTTATGCTTTAAGCCTTTATCCTATAATTAAAAAAAAAAAGCATCATCCATCAATTACAAAAGGATTCTTCAGAATCAGAATTCACGTTATTACAAGAAATATATTTCATGGGGCAAAACAACAACAAATACTTGAACAAATAAATCAAGTATCTTCTTCAACTTCTCTGTCCGAAATTGCCTATAAAATGAGAGATTGAGATCTAAGACTATCACAAAGGCAGTCTGAAATTGCCAAAAGAGTCAGTGAACATGCTCACAAGCGAGGGCGGATGTCGGATGGAGGTGAATGGTGAAGAATAGATTACTGTGAAACTGAGTGCCCGATGGCCACGACGAGCGCGAAATGACGGATTATGTCTTAGGGTTTGAGAGAGATTATTTGTTGAGGGCGGCGGATAAAAATGAGAGACTGAACGAGGGGTAAAAAATGAGAAGTAGAGGGATTTTATATTTTTTGTTTTTTTTTTTTAATTGACGGGCCAGCCTGCGGGCTAGCCCAGCCCGCCCCGCCCTAGCCCGCGGCCCGCGCGGGCTGGCCCGTTTAGGCCCGCTCCCCAACGGGCCTAAAAAATCTTGGCCCAACCCGCCCCTTTTGCGGTGCGGGGCGGGAACGGCCCGCGGGCCGCGGGCTGTTTTGACGGCTCTACTAAAAAGTAGCAAGGAACAATTTTCTGTAGAATTGTAAATCTTAGAGCGTGTTTGTCTATAAAATTATTCATGTTCATACTCAATTTATTCTCAAAATTCATCTCAATTTTAATTCGATCATACTATACTAAATATTATCAATATATTTAGATAATATCAGTCTATGATTCTTACAAATCACATAATTTTAATTCACCATTCATCAATTCATCAATATAATCAGATAATGGCCTTGTTTGGCGATCAGCGGACAGCGAATTGTATTAGCGGATAGCGGATAGCGGATTATATTAGCTGATTTGACTAGCGGATTGCATTAGCGGTATTTAAATAAGTGTTTGGTAAATAGCTGAAAGCTTATAGCTGTTTGACATTGCAAATTACCAATAAGAACATTTTATTATTTAGGGTGTATTCTTTTAATAATAATATGTTAAAACATTTAATATTTTTTAGTGGGCAATTTATAAATATATATATTTTTTTTAATTTTACTAACACTTGATTAAGAAGTTATGAATTTTATATTTTTCCAGATAAATTAAACATATGGATGACATATTATTATTTGTTAGCATCATAAACCAATGTAGATTGTAAAATAAATAATACAAATTAAAAAATTCTAAATTAAAATTGTAGATTGTGAATCCTCTATCCCCAAAAAGCTCCTCTAATGAGCTTTTTCTAAATTAGAGTTTTGGGCCTAAAAAGCTTATCAAATAAGCTATTTACCAAACAAGCTCAATAGCTGATTTGACGGGTCAAACCTCTCAATTAAGTCCAATCCGCTAATTTATCCTCAATCCGCTATCTTCCAAACGGGGCCAATATCAATCTATCATTGTTACAAATCACATAATTTTAATTCAACATTCATCAACTCACATAATTTTAACTGCCTACTACTTTGAAACATTTATCTTTTACTTTTATATCAAATTAATATAAATTATTTTATTCTAAATATTTTTTAATACAATATTAAAGTCTTATTAACAAGCATCTCCAATGCTCAATGTTGTAGTTGTAAATTACATTACACATCAACACATTTATTAATATCACAATTTTCCATCCTCCAATGTACAATGTGATCAGCAATGTTGTGATGATGTGACATAATTAATGTCTACAATGTAGAGAAAAATGTGATTCATTCACATTCTACTCCATACTCCAGTTAACCAATGAGAAGAGAAGATAGAAATATTATTATCATTTTTAAATTATTAAATTATTTCATTAATTTTATTAATTCATTTGTAAAAGCAACATTGTGCATTGAAGATGATTTTTTTAATTTAATAGTTGTGGACTCAACCTTTGTCCTATATAGTTCACAATATATTTAAGTTCTTGACGCTTGTCAAAAAAATATCTATAACATTAGAGCATTGGAGATGCTCTAATATTATACCAATTTTTTTAAATTAACTTTGCCTTAATAAGAAAAATTAATAAAAAAAAACTGATAAATTAGTAAAACAAACATTCCAATAACCTTCTTCCATTCTCCTCCGCACATTTTTGCACAGAAAGTATCTCGAGTCCCTTGTGAAGAAAAATTATCACACACACACACACACCGTGTGATTGTGCGAGGGCCAAGAAACATCTGACGAGCTTTTGGTTTTCTCTGTTGTTTTCCTAAGACTGATCGATCCCTTTGAACTGAAAATATATTTTTACTCAAAAAAAAAAAAAAACCCAATTTGCGAAACGTACACACGCTCACGCACAAGGGTTTTGAAGAAGACGAAGAAAAAAAACGTGTTCTTGGCGAAGTCTATGTGTATGCGACCGAACGTAGATATGGCTGATGTGGTCAGACTATGCTCCAATTCTCATAAGTTATCTTCTTCGTTGTTTTCTTTATCTTCGTCTCTGAGCTCTTGCCAGCGGCCCCCACCTCTCGGAGGTTCGGTTTCCTTCTCGGAGGTTTCTTCTATCGGTTGGGGTTTTGTCTCGCCAATCGCCTTCCCACGCCGCAATCAATTGGGGTCTCCCAAGGTAATGTTGCAAAACCCTAATGAAATTAAGTTGTTTCTGGTGACTAGGGTTTTCTTTCCTGCGTAGAGACGTTTTTTTGAACACAGCTAAGGTTTGTATTTGTAGAAAAATCTAATTTGTTTGTAGCGTTCTGTTTGAAAAATGCATTTTAGTTTGAATGGGGAAAATGGGTTACTTGTTAATGGTCATAATTTGGATTAATTTCAAAAATTAAAATAGTTTTGACTTATGTAGAAGTTTATGGGAATGGCTTCAAAAGTTTCATGTACTGTACTGTAATTGTTGATGTGCTCGTCATAATATTTGAACGTTGCAGTTTATCTGGTTCTGAACACTAATTGATTTTTTCTCTTTTGTCTGAGGTCTTTGACTTTTGGGTCAAGAACACCTCAATCATACACTAGAATATTGAGTATGGATTACCGTATGTGTGTGACATCAACCATGGTGAAAGACTCTGTTTTTGTGCGGGCTATTTGACGTTTTTACAAATTGTCTAGTGAAGTTCTTGCGACATAATCCATCTTGTTTGCTCCAGAGATGTTTGCATAATCGAATGAAAAAATGTTTTTTTTTTTCTACGTGTAATCAATTGTAATCATTTTGTTGTTATGTCTTTTGGGACGATTACGCTATGAAAATGGTAAGTATTATATATCACTAATTATCAGCTCTAGGGGTTGGGACCTACAATGTGATTTGTCTACACATGTGTCGGGTCTTATCCTGCTCTTTACTGATGCGAAGCTTGCATGGCTCATTTGACGTCTGAATTAGATTAGTTCTTGGCAGGTGATGAAATATGAAACCCGTATCTAACACTTATGAGTAATCGAACTTGCCTATCCTGTTGTTTTAAAGTTATTAGGTCATCTATCCTTCCAATTTTTCATTGATCTTATCATGAATTATGCTCCTATGACTAATGTTGGATGCATTACTTTTTTTGTTTACTTCAATTCAGCATAGGCCAAATTTAGTAAATCTGAACTTTCATAGAATGTTTGTTTTACAAAACAGACAACGAAATTTCCCCGCAAGTTTACTTAAGCTTGCCTGCATATGCAGTAGAGAACGGGAGTTCTTTAACTAGCTTCCAAATTTTGATAAATTATGATGGATTCAGATCTTTTTGAAATGTCTTGCAAGATTGTGTTGGCAATTCAGTCATATATTTTCTCCTTCAGATGCGTTTCCTTTTTTTTCTTTCTTTTTGCCATCAATGTATTACTACGTGCTTCTCCCTTCGCATTGCTGAAATGCGTGAAAAGCTTTGTGGTTCCAGTGCAAGCATTTTGCTCTTATTTGTTATGGGAAATACTGTAGTTCATGGTTCATTTGGCTATATAACTTTGCTATGCAGTATTTGTTCTTGATGCCTTAATAGAATCTTGTTATGTACAGGGTCATTTTGCTTGAGTTTTGGTTATTTGGATTGTGTGCCTCTGTTGTGGCTATTTGTTTCGGAAAAATCACTGCATGGTTCTATTCCCTTCTCTCTTTAGCTTTATTTTTATTTTTAATAAACTAATGAAACTGATTCTTATTCAACGGAAATTTGGGAATCACAATATGTATACATGTGTTTTAGTTACAAGATTTAAGGAGCTATTCTGTTGAAACCTAATTTATAAGATAAAATAGTCATTTTTTTTTTTTTTTTATTATTATCTTGGGTGTGCATATTGTATATTTTTATTTTAAAATCTTCAATTCTTCCCAACGACTAGTCTACGTAATTTCATAAGCTAATGATGTCTAATTTGCTGCTGATTACATTCATCTCAGATGCATGCAACTGTGACAGAAACCGAGCAGCCCAAGTGGTGGGAAAAAAATGCAGGACCCAACATGATTGATATTCACTCCACCCAAGAATTTTTGAATGCCTTGAGTGAGGCTGGAGATAGGCTGGTTATTGTCGAGTTCTATGGGACTTGGTGTGCTTCTTGCCGAGCATTATTTCCCAAAGTAATCTTTTATTAATTCTGGGGATATTGTGCTCATAACCTTGAGGTCGCGGGTTCAAATATACTAAAAATACATTATTGCCTTGGTCTGTAGCAATATGGAGCTGACCACTGAAAGTAGATGATGTTTGATTAGTTGTTACGAAAGTCTCAAATTCAATAATAGTTCTTAGATGTAAACGTGTCATGTACTTATATACTTCAAAAGCATTGTCATCAAAATAAATTAAGGCGGCGGTATTTTATTAACTGCCGCGTTTCAATCAAAAAATTATATAAGCATACAGAGACCAAAAGTAATTTTTTATTTTTTTTTTATTATTTTTTTTTTGTCAGGCTGAGATTTGAACTTGTTCAAAAGTAATACTGTTTGTGTAGTAGTCTCATGGTTTGTTCGGTTATCAGCTTTGCAGAACAGCACAAGAACATCCTGATATCCTTTTTTTGAAAGTCAATTTTGATGAAAACAAGCCAATGTGCAAGAGCTTGAACGTCAAGGTTCTTCCGTTTTTCCACTTCTATCGTGGGGCAGATGGACAGCTCGAGGCCTTCTCTTGTTCACTTGCCAAAGTAAGTACATTTTTTCTTTTGGCACCATTATGAATGAGGGAACTTTCATATTTCAAATTGTTATTTAAATCTTCGAATAGTAACTTGTTTGAATTTTTTTTTTTTTTTTTTTTTTTTTT